CAGGGTTCGTACCACCAGCTAGATAGTCTGCTAAATAGTCAAGACAAAAAGGTCTGGACCCCGCTGCCCACAGGAAGGGTGAGAGGTTCCTGGTGGTCGTCCTCCCTGGAGGGTTATTGTTGCGAGTGATAGGTCACCCAGAGACAGATCCACGGCACTTCAATCCCACTGGCCTCGGAGGTACCCCAGTGCCTGTGGGTAGGTCTCAGAGGTCTCGGGCTGTGTGGCTGGTGCCTTCCCTGCTTGAGCGAGTTTGTCTACAAAGGCAAGGTTGCACAGCTGTGGTGCAGGTTAGTGTGCACATCTGGCAGCCTCAGCCCCTGGCCCAGAGCTGCCCAGTGTCCCCCTGCAGCCCTTCTTGGGGCTGGCAGAGAGACGTGGTGTGAGGAGATGGTCCCTTGGGTTGCTGCTGGTGTTGGAGGACACGGAGTGGCTGGTTCAGCTGTGTAAGTGAAGGTCAGTTTGGCGCAGATGTGTGTTGTGACAAGAAGAATGAAAGAAAAAGCCTCAGAACAGGGGACTTTGTATTGCTGTACCTTCACCTGTATGTTTGCATATCTCCAACCTGTTTTAAGTTCTGCATTTGAAATCTCTAGCACTAAGGATTTTCTATCCAAGAAAGGGGATTTCATCTCCAAATTGTCTTGGTGTCTTCCCCAGTGTGATTGTGTTGTGAGAGTAGCTAACCCACAGGATGCAGTTTGAGGGAAGACAGAGAGAGGGAGGCAAGGATCAGGCTGAGAAAAGGATGTTGGCGTGTTAATGAGAAGCAGAGAGGAAGATTTGGGCTTCCTGTGGCTGCAGGCAGCTCCCCCAGGCCTGCCTTCAGAAGCAGCCGCTTCATCTTGCTGCCCTTCATGCTGCCCTTCAGTGGGACAGCTTCCCAAATAAGGGCTTGCTGACTTTCTGACCAAAATAGCGGCTGCGTGACAAAATGCAGCACGGTGGAACGTAACCTTAATCCAGGCATCATTGTGTAGCAAGAGACAGGAATTTTGTGAGCTTCCTCAGCAGCTCGGTGTCAGGTTTGTTGTTATCTGCTCCCTGCCTGCATGGTGGACCTGCAGGACGCTGCCTGGACATCAGTTGATCACTTACTGCGTTTTCTAACCCTGTGACAGCTCAGTCCACAACTTCCATCCTTGTGGTAGAGGTTGCCCCAGCCCAGAAGAAAACTGTGGAGGGAAGTGTGTGCTGACATGGCCTTGTGGTGGGTCTTCATCCTCTTTTGCTTGCCTTGTGAAATAACATTTAAGTTCTGTGTCTTGATTTCTGTTGGTCAAGTGAGGTTGAAGATCCTTTTTGGGAGTATTACGTAAACAGAGCCCAGGAGACGGAACTGGCAGCTGTGCCCCCCTTTAAACTATTCCCATTTTGCAGAGCTCTGTCATCTTTGACATTTAGAAACTTCAAAACTCTTATAATTAAGTCCTTGGTATCCTGCAGGAAGCCAGTGAGCTTGAGAGCGTCTCTGCTCAGCTACTGCTGTACATTGGGTTATACATTTTGTGCTTGCTGCTGCTGTATGTCATAACTCGCTGCAGATGATTTCTCCCCTTTGCAATTAAGAGGTCTCTGTATCAAGTTCCAGTTTGGCTCCTTTTCTCCCTTTGATTAAAAAAAAAAAAAAAGACAGGGAGCAAAGGGCACGTAACTGAATACTGAATCAGCTCATTTGGCAAAGGTGAGCAGTCACACTGAAAGCCAAGAGTACAGAACTGCGAGGAGAAATCAAAGCACTGGGAAACACTCTGATGAGGCAGAGTGTTTACTGGGGACATTGATGTTCACGGTGAAAATGAAAAGTAGAGCTGGATGCGTGTTGCTCCGTCCCCTTTACCGCCTTCCAGTAGTGTACTAAAGCAAAAAGCAGTGAGCAGAATACGAGTTTTGCTTTGCCCAAGTTTTGAGGCTGTTGCAGGTGTTCCTATGCAACAGGGGCTTTGGCACGGTGAAATATTGTTTATTTGGCATATCTTAGCTCACATTGTACTGCTGCTGCCCTGGTGGCAGACAGATGACAGTAGGCGAGCTGCAGAGGTTTTATTAGGGGGATGAGTACCAAGTGTCTTCAGGTCTTCCTGCAGTCAGTTCACACAGCAAAGTTTTACTGAGGGCTGAAGAGAGGCCTCGAATATGCTGAAAAAGCTGCAAACCAGGGCAGGAATTAAATCTACTGCCAGTGAAAGCAAGTGGAGCACATGGCCTGAGAACTGTGGCTGCGTCCAGTGGCACGGGCTGCTGTCACCTGCCAGCACAGCTTCTGTCTTGGCTGGGGGTTTCAGAGCACACAGATCTGGGGACTGGTTTAGTGGTAAGTGGATATTTGCCTAACAAAAAAAAAAATATGGATGCTTCAATGACTTTTTTTTAATTATTATTATTATTGTTGTTATTTTTTTCAAGTAGTGCTTGTGGACCTGTGTCACATTCCTTAAAGGATTCTGGCACCAAAGCTTCACTAGACATGCAGGGAAAACTGCAAATTTGTTTGGAGTTGCACAGGTACATGGAGTCCTCTGGGTGGTTTTCATTCACCAGTAGTACATCTCAAGGCCCATCCCCTCTGTGGAGGCTTCAACTGGGTTGATCCTGTACTGGTTACTGGTTTTTCAGCCGTCTGACCCACTCGCCGGCCTGTCATATCGCGTTCCATTCCTAATGCAGTTGTTCCCGTGTTTGCCAACAGTGAAATCCACCCGCAGCACCCCACCCCGTGGCATTTGCTGTCTTACTCCTGGAGGACAGGCAGTCTGTTAAGACAAATTGGTCTTGCAGCAGTTTTTCTGACTTCACACGGAGCGTGCTGACCTGCTGGCACCTCTGGTCTGAAGACTAAAAAAGCCCAAATAGTCCTCAGTGTGTCAGCTTTTCTAGGGGCAAGTTTCGGTTGCTATGAGACCTTGTTCCTCCCTCTCCAGCCACCACCTTCCCTGTTTTGCTCTCAGAAAAGAGTGGGTAGAGAGTGAGGCTGTGACTTGCTGCTGCCTGTGCCATTGAACCAAGGGGGGAGAGCTGAGACACGTGGCTCTTTGCAGCCATCATTTTCCCTGGGGTCAGAGGGATCCTTCCAGGTCTCCCCCCAAGCCACCAAGTTGGCTGAAGGGAGGGGGTTAAGCTGGGAAAGTTCCTTACTTTTTTCTCTTGTTCACTCTTTAGGGAGCCAAAGCCTATCAGTAAGCAGTGGTGAGTATCTTGGAGATGTCCTTGCTCAGTGTTGGGATCTGGTCAGGACAGGAAGATAATGGGGCTGTCGGTGATGCCTGCTGAGATGTGATGTGAGAGTGTGGGTTGCCCATGGGCTGGATGGCTGTGGGGAGAGCTGGTGTCACCTTGGCTCGTGGCCGAAGCCCGGGTATTGGCACCTCTGTGGAGGTGTCCAGGCCTGGGGTAAAACATTTCAGCTGTGTCCTCAGAAGTGGGTTTCAGTGGGAAATTATTTCTGCTGCTACACTGGGGAGGTGAAAAAATGATTATTTTTGATCTCTAGGCTACGGGTTCATTGGAGACAGAAGACAGTAACACACAGGAGCTTTTCCTGGCACAGGGTTGTTCAACCCAACACATTTCTGTGTCTGTTGGCTTCTGCTACACCTGCAATTCTGCTGAATCAGCAGGGACTGTGGTATCAAGGGCTTGGGACCCCTTTCATTGGGTCTTCCAGATGTTTGCATAAGGGGCATTCCCAAAATATCCTAGGTTTTAAGGAAAAACATCTGCTGGAGCTGACAAGGGTTCATTTCCTTGGTTGTGGTTTTACAAGCACTGCTTGGTGCTCGTTGTCCAGAGGAAAGACACAGCAGTGTCCTTCCAAACATCTGACAACTCCTCTCAGGCCTGTTTTCACCTCAAGCCTGTTTGGTCTGAATTGTAGTATGTCATTACAGCTACAAATGAGAGCATGTGTCATGCCAAATACAGCTGCTCAGGGTGTTACTTCCATGGGGGTGGAGGGAGGCTGATTTGGGGAGTAAAGGCAGGAGGACGGTGCAGTGGGCATGGGGGTGCTGGCATGGGGGCACGCTTGCCCAGGATTTGCACTGACACAGTCTTGTGCCTTGCCCTGCCAATGTTTATTTTGCTTGGGTAAACGTTTGATTTTAGCAACACGAACGCAATGCGTGAGCTGTGCTGGGGCTGTAATTCGATGGGAAGAGGCAGCTATGTGCAGGGGGAGCTGCTAATGCAGCAGGAATGCTGCGCTTCCTTGGGACGGGAGAAGATGGCACCCGGGGCCCTCCGGGCACAGCTTGTCTTCCTCAGCCATGCTGTCACCCCACGCCTGGCAGTCAAGACCCAAAGCAGGGTCATGCCTTGTTCAGGGCCCCTGTGGCCTGAATGGACGTGATTTCTGAGGGGAAATTGGGTGTTTCAGTTCTTGCAGTGAGGTTTCCACCTAAGGCTCCTGGAGGACTGTGAGGTGCTGCAGGGCTGCCATTGCCTGCTTCCTGCTAGGCTGGGCGAGGTGGGAAGGAGGCACCCAGTCTGGCTTAGGAACGGCTTTTATTCATGTTTCCAAAGAAAATACAGGTGGTCTTTCTGCATGTGTCGCAGCGTGGCCGTCAGGATGGCGGGGAGGAGGAAGGGGTGTCCCTTGAGGACAGCCAGGGTGAGAGCAGGGAGGAGAGGGACTGTCCCTCACTCGGGGATTTCGGTGATGGTATAGGTGGTTGTTAATTCACATTTTGTTGCTAAAATGCTGCTGGTGCTCCAGTTAAACCAGCAGGCACCAGTGCTGGCTCCTGAACCCACTCACCATGGCAGGCATGAGGAGATGCAACACAGCAGCTTCCCACCAAGCACCCGTGGCTTTGCCACTGGGCTGGCAGCAAAATACCTCCTTGGAGACTTAAAGCTCCAACTGTGGTGTCACCTTCCCAGACACAGTTTGCAGGCGCTCAGCGTGGCCCTGAGGAGCAGCCCCATTAGTCACAAGTATGTGACCAGGGTGAAGCTCTCCCTAAACCTCCAAGGAACGACCATCTGAGGCACTCAGTATTAACGCGTTTTATTTTCCCAGCGGCCACCCTTCTCAGCACTCAGTCTTCATGCTGGTAGCCAAGGGACTTAGCCAAGGAGATGAGGTGTGGAGCTGGAGGGGTTTAGGAGATTTGGGCTGTCATCTGGCCTCAGATTTATTCAACTCCCTTCATAAACTCCAGGAACTCTGCCAAGGGGAAGACATAGGAGATAACGGGTGTGAGGTGGGACCCAAGTGCCTTTGCAGCTGCCAAGTGCCCTCTTGGCAGGTTTCCCCAGCCCTTTCTCCTTTTCCACCCCCCCAATGCGTGAGAGGCGGGGGAGGGAGGGGGGTGGCTACGGCTCCTCTGGCCGTGGCAAGGACTCCTCGTGACTCCCACTGGAAATGTCACCAGAGCCCAGCATCAGCCTTGGCCGCCACCGAAACACTAGAGATGAGCACCTGGGGAGGGACATGGCCACCAGCTCAGCTTGGAAATGGTCTGGGGGTCATTTTGGCAGCATCGTGTTCGAATATACAGCCCTTTGGAGGTTGTGCTTGTGCTTAGGGGGCAGGTCTCTGGTGAAAAGCAGGTTTGCTTCAGCACAGGCTGGCTCTCTCAGTGTGCAGAGAGTTAAGGCAGCCCCAGGCGCTTGCCACCATTTCACAAGGATAAGAAACCCCCCATCCCTGTGCAAACACCAGCTGTGATCAGGCATATTGCCCAGCGCTGCCTGCACAAGCTCACACCTGTCCCTGAAGGCAACCGAGACCACAGGAGCTGCCCTGGGGGACACTCGAGGGCCCACAACCAAACTGCAAGAAAGACTCCTACCGTCATAGTCAATCCTGCCATCATTGTTTTTATCTCCATCTTTCATCAGTTCTTCTATGTCGTCCTCGGTGATGGTCTCTCCTGTTGCCTGCAGCATGATCTTCAGCTCCTCGAGGTCGATGTAGCCATCGGCATTTCTGTGCATGGATGGAAGATCTCAGAAGTGTACCAACATGCTGGGGAGGGGGAGCTGGGGTGGCTGCACTGCTCCCACCACCCCACCATGCTGAGTCACTGCCCTTACTTATCAAACATCCTGAAGAGATCTGAGAGTTCCTCTTCAGTTTTTCCTTTGCTGTCGTCTTTCATACACCGGACCATCATAACAAGGAACTCATCAAAGTCTACAGTGCCGCTGCCTGCAGACAGAATAAACACCATCAGACAGCGCTACGGTGGGTGGACAGGCAATGCCAAGAGATCAAACTTCCCGTTGGAAACCAAGGAGCGAAACTCAGGAGAGCAGCCCTGCAGCAAGAGGTAGCTTTCAGGATGCTGTCATAAGTGACTGAGGCCATGAACTGACTTCATCACCAAATTTTTACTTTCTGCAGTCATTCTGCCAAGGCAAAATGAACCAGAAGTCCTACTGGAAGCACTGATGAATGGAAATTCCTGCTACGGAATATGGATATAAAAGCTCCAGAAGGCAGGTATTCATGCAGTGTGGTTTTGCACCAGCAATACAGTACTGTTATTTTCAGTGACATAGTTATGTTCCTTTTTTTGCCTGACTTTTAACTATTTTTTTTTATTATTTTCCAGTTACTTAGTACAGTATCTCTGCCCAACTTACAGTGGATTTTGTTATGTGTGATCACTGGTAGACTGGTTTAATCAATATCGGCAGTTATTTATATGTGTGTGTGTACACATTGGGAAAGACTTTCACAATGACAGAATCCTGTAATTGTGGCACTTCTGACATGGCAGTTGCTGCATTCAGCGTATATTTTGTTTTTTAAATGGATCTCTGCAATTTCAGAGTAGCCCCCAAAATCAGTTCAAGCAGTCTGATCATTATAGGAATAATATTTGTAGTTTCTCTTTGCCTGGAAATTTTCTAGAGGAACCAGGCTGAAGTTTGGTGGGTGTTTAGTGTCCTTCAAAATCACAGCGCTGCAGGTTGCTCCTTGCAGGCTGTGGCTGTCCCTAGCACGGATCCTGCCAGCACTGCGCAGACGCTGAGCACTCCCAACCTGCCCCATTCCCCCCATGCCTGTGGTGCTTGGGAGAGTAGAAGAAACCCAAATCTCTCACCATCCTCATCCACCTCGTCTATCATCTCCTGCAGCTCCTCAGGGGTGGGGTTCTGCCCCAGCATCCGCATCACCTTCCCCAGCTCCTTGGTGCTGATGCAGCCATCCTCTGCCCCCAGCACGAAGATGTCGAAGGCAGCCTTGAACTCTGGGGAAAGAGGGGAGAGGAGATGTGGGGGTCTCGCCCCATGCCTCGACCCTGCAGGTGGACAGCCCTGGGGCAGGGGGCTCATCCCAGGCACAGCCTCCCCTGCCTCTGCGTCCCAGCACTGACCAGGCATGGCACGGGAGGGGAAACCCCGGCACACACACAGAAACTGCCTTTCTTGAAATGCTGGTGGATCAAAATCCCTGGGTTATGCCCTGTTTTGGCCAGACTGGGCCAAATTGCACCCCATTTTCTGCGGTGTAATTGCTGAGGCAGGCTGGGCTGCAGACTGGGGAGCTTGTCTTTAGTCTGCAGTGTCAGGTTAAAGATGCACCTACCATTTTTTTGTTCTTCTGTCAGCTGCTCAACCTGTAAGGAAAACACAGACACCAAGTCATTTTTCTTCCTCGGCATCACTAATGGTTAAAAGGTAATGTTATTTGTTCAAACAGCCTTTGCAAAGGTCAGCCAAGCCTTACAACAGTCACCCTCCTGGACTACAGGATATATGACCAGTGAGGTTTTGACACCACAGCTTTGTGTAGTCTAAGAGATTCTTCCCCTTCAAAAAAAACTTGTTCCCAACTTCTTTGAAGTGAGTCTCATTTCTCGAGAGTGGCAGCATCTATCAGAATTAGCCTTTGCACAAGCAGCAAAGACCCACTGGGAAAAGCATTTGTCTCTGTCAACCTTTTGGGGATAATTTCTTGTTGCTGGGAGGCTTCACAGCGGGACGGCTGTGCTGCTGAGGGCTGCTTGTGTGTGGGCTGAGGCCAGGTCAGCGGTGGGACATGCTGGTGAGGTCCCTGGGGAGGGAGAGGCAGACAAGACCATCCCTGGTACTTGTTTTTCAGCCCTACAGTTGGGAAAATTTCTGCACTATCCAGAACATTAACAGCTGGTCTGCTTCCATCCAAGTCAGTGTTTATTGCAAAGGTTCCTGCCTCAGAAGGGAGCTGCAATTCCCTTTAGCCTGTTTTGGGTATCTCCCTGAAGAAATGGCCTGTGGAGCCATGAGGCGTTAGCCAAAATGTGCTGGCAGATTATTCCCAAACCCTACCCTAATCCATTCCCTGCAGGCAACCAGTGGGAGCTTATCAGTTAGTGTGAATTAATGAAAATAATCAATGAGGAGAGCAAGGAGGAATCCATCAGCTCTGTGTCATGCCTCCTTAACTGCCTTTCTCTCTTTGGCTTCGTTCCTGCCTGCTGGTGCAGCTTAGCTAAAATTGCTGACCCCACCACTATGTCCAACAGTAGCATCCATTAAAACACTGACTTTTCCCTCCCAGGCCAGTCGACAGCCTCTCCGGAGTCAGACAGACATTACCTCTGCCAGCACTACCTCTGGCCTGTGCAGAGAGTGCCTGACCCCACTGATGTCTCCTTACTACTGTCTGCAAGCCCTGTGTGAGCAGTCCCTGACGCCCATCCCCACCATGTTTTGGTCAGGGCAGAACCCCTTGACCCAGGGCTGCGGCACCTTGTCTTTGAGGGAAGGCTGATGCTTTTGCTGCAGAGTTGTTGTTTTGCAAAAGCCAGCTGGAAGTCACAGAATCATAGAATGGTTTAGGTTGGAAGGGACCTTGAAGTTCCAACCACCACCGCTATGGGCAGGGACACCTCCCACCAGCCCAGGTTGCTCCAAGCCCCATCCAGCCTGGCTTTGAACACCTCCAGGGATGGAGCTTCCACAGCTTCTCTGGGCAACCTGTTCCAGTGCCTCTCCACCCTCAGAGTGAAAAATTTCTTCCTAATATCTAATCTAAATATATCCTTCCCGCTTGCAGCGAGAGGCAGGGAAAGAGCTTTTTCTTAGGGGGCCGGAGCCTACGGGAAGCAGGCAGAGAGCCTTATCCCACTCCCCACGCACCAGGAGGTGAAGACTTTCAAGTCAGAAAGCGGTAAGGACAGCGGCAGGATTACCATTGCAGGAGGACACCCAAGGCTGCTGTGGCCCCGGCGCTGCTGAGGGCAGGCAGGCAGGCAGCTGCCGGCCCTTCGTGGCTATTGTTTGGGCAGAGCGAGGGCTCCCTCGGCCGATGTCCATGGCCGCCATCCTGCCACTCGGGTAACCTGACCCTCTCGGTGCGTTCGCTATTTATAAGCCTGGGTGAGAGAGGTGCTGGAGATAAAGATGAGTTCCCCGATTGTTCCCAGGCTTTGGTATTTATCCTTGCAGCCCTTTATCTGGACACTTGTCCCTGGCACTGTTCTTAGTGCTGCTGAACAGAGCCTAAAAATGTTCCCAAAATAGCTTTGTGCTTGCACACCCTTATCTAGGCATGAGTGGGCAAGATGAAAATCCACTGGGTTCTCTGGCTGCACGTAAGGAATTTGGCATAAATATAATACTAATATATGCCATCAGCGTGCAGCAAATAAAAAAATACTCACTTTTGAAGCTTCCTTGACTAATGAAATGATAGATGTGGAGCTACGCTGCATGTAAACTAAATGCATTATAACTATAGAGTGACACTTTTATTACAGAGATGTCTCTTGAGCTGTTTATAGTGCCCTCTGGACATGGGTGCTGTTCGCGGCTTTATTCCTTTTTTCCCTCCCCATCAATGCAGGGATGGGTTTCCCCAGCTGCGGTGTGGGAAGGCAAGCACTGAGCTCACAACACTGCGGCGGCCATGGTAACACCAAATCTGCTGTATTTTGCTTTTATCAGCTCTCTTCTTCATCACATGTTTCCATTTGAAGTCAGGCAGGGGAAGTTGAAGTTCTTGAATTTTTTTTTTCCAGCTAAGTGTTTTCTTATGGTTAAAATCTTGGGCAATAAATCCACGAAAAAGCTGTTTCTCTCAGCCATGCCTGGCTTAGACTTGTTTTGCCTCGTAAAGGTGCTGGCAGGTAATGCCCGGGACTCGCGCCCCACGTTTACCAGCATGGCCCCACCTTCAAACCACCAGCAAAATCCTTATGGGAACCCATCAGGTCTTTTGCATGGCTCATTTTCCTGGTCAAGGGTTCTATGCTTGGGGGAAGTTTTTGGTATCCGAGGTAGGAATTTTTGGGTCGTTCTCTATTGCTGCAGTTCCTTTTTCTTAGCTAAATTGCTCCATGGTCCAACTCCGCTAAAGCCCACAGGCTGCAGCTAGGGATGACTGTCACCTGTGGATTTTTGCCCATTTCTGGGGTAGAGATTTGGAGACAAGTTGAAGCTTGTGAACCCTTTCATTTGGGGCTCTCTGCCCATGCTGTGAGAGCGCTGCCCCAGCAGACGGCCAGACCCTTTTGGCTGTGGGCATCGCTGGCTTGCAAAGCACTTCAGCCTTTCTCCCTAATTACGGGCATGAGGACCCTAAACAATAAGGAGAGGAGCTGTGCCTTGAGTTGCAGAGAACACATTTAATTAAAAAGCTTAATTAGAGACGCCTGGACTTTCTTTGATTTTACAGGTCACATTTTTCTCCTTTTCTGAGGTGTTGGTTGGGGGACTCAGCGCTATGTTGTACAGCCTTTCCTGAGCCTTTTCACACTATCAGGATCACTAGAGCAGTTGTGTTTCACGAGGTTCAGGGCTGACCAGAGGACAGGAGAGGTGTGAGCGTTTTGGTTTTTTTCTTCAATTATGTATCAGGCACTATCTTTCTTCCCTCGAAAAACCTTGGAATTAAAATAGGACTGGTACGATGTATTTTTTGTGCCCTTGGTTAACATCAAACTTGATCAACTATATATTTAAAAAAAAAATCATCAAAAAGCTGTTATTTTAACTCCACTTATGGAAGGGATGCAGTAGCAATCCACACAATCTCAAATCTATTTTCATCCTTCTTCCACCTGCACATCACTGTCTGTCTACATTACAAAATAATGCAGCGTTCTTATTACAGACCAAATAGTTTGGGTTTACCCGGTGAGCGCAGCGTGCAGCTGTGTAAGTTAAAATAGCCGTTAGGATGCTCTGCGTTCCCTGAGAGCATAGCTCACATTCTGCATTTCTGCAGAGCAGATATCAGGAGTGGCAAAGCAAAGGACGATGTTTGGAAATAACTTACAAAAGCCGAGGGTGTTTGGTTTTTTTTAAATCTCCAAGCAAAATATTCAGCTAAAGAAGAGGGAAATGGAGCAATGGCAGAATTATAAAGCACCAGAAAGAAGAGGGTGAAGTTTAACCCATAAAAATAATGTTCATTTCATGGGAAAGGCTGCTCTGCTTTGTCTGGGCTAAAACCAGCAGCCACCTCTTCAGCTTTCAAGATTTCATTGTGATTTATAACTTCACCTATGGGCCATCTCCCTGCCTTACAGTGGGGAACCAGGGGAGTAGTTGTAAATAATTTAGGAGCACAGCTGAGAGTTTCACACTTGCAAGAGGAGTGTGAAACCTTCAGAGCCATCAGTGGGAAAGGTTTGTGTTCCGGATGATGATGTTGACTAAAAGTTGCCACCCTATAATTATTTCTTACTTGCATTTCTCCATTGAATTAACTCTGTCACAGCTTTGGGGAATCTACTATAAGATCTCCAAAAACCCTTTAACCCCCCCCCCCCCCCTCCAAACCACAGCCCCAAAGGGAGGCACTTACCGCTGCCTTATAAATGTCATCCATGGCTGGAGAGGGTGGGCAAGGGGCTGAGGGATGTCACGGTCACACTCTGCCGGCGCTGCCCCCGCGAGCCCGGCTGATATAGAGGGCTGCCCACCCCAGGGGATGTGACCAGCCCACCAGCAGACCCGCACGCCCATCCCCGTCCCATCCCCGGCCGCGCAGCA